TTAACGTTTATTTACTTTTGAAAGAGGAGAGAGACAGAGCACGAGCAGGAGATAGGCAGAGAGAGGGGGAGACACAGAATCTGAAGCAGGCTCCAGGCTCTGAGCTGTCAGCACAGAGCCAGACGCAGGACTCAAACTCACAAACGGCGAGACCATGACCTGAGCCAAAGTCAAAGGCCCAACTGACTGAGCCACCCAGGTGCCCCTCAAGAAATCACTTTCTCTGTTCATCCATAAACAGCAACTCTTAATCTGTTCAGGTTTTTCGTGGGATTGCAGCAATTCATATCTTCAGGTTTCACTTCTAATTCTAGTTCTCTTGTTATTTTCACATCTGCAGTAATTTTCTTCACTGAAGTCTTGAACCCCTCACAGTCATCCATGAGGATTGGAATCAACTTCTTCCAAACTCTTGTTGATACTGATATTTTGACTTCTTCCCATAAATCACAAATGTTCTTAATGGCATCTGGAATGGTGAATCCTTCCCAGAAGGTTTTGTTTACTTTGCCCAGACCATCAGAAGTATCACTGTCTGTGACAGCTATAGCTTTACAAAATGCATTTCTTAAATATTAAGACTTTAAAGTCAAAATTACTCCTTGTTCCATGGGCTGCAGAATGAATGTTGTGGTAGCAGGCATGAAAATGACATTAATCTCATTTTACATCTTCATCAGAGATCTTGGGTTACCGGTGCACTGTCAATGAGCAGTAATATTTTGAAAGGAATCTTTATTTCTAAGTTGTAGATCTCAAGAGTGGGCATAAAAGATTCAGCAAAATATGTTGTAAGCAGATGTGCTGTCTTCCAGGCTTGATTCTTCCGTTTACAGAGCACAGGCAGAGTAGATTTAACATAATTCTTAAGGGCCCTAGGATTTTCAGAATCGTCTATGAGCACTGGCTTCAACTTAAGGTCACCAGCTGCATTAGCCCCTAATGAGAGAGTCATCCTGTCTTTTAAAGCTTTGAAGCCAGGTATTGAGTTTTCCTCTCTAGCTAACAAAGTCCTAGGCGGCATCTTCTTCCAATAGAAGGCTGCTTCATCTACACTGAAAATCTGTTGTTTGGTGTAGTCATGTTCATTAATGATCTTAGCTAGACCTTCTGGATAACTTGCTGCAGCTTCGACATCAGCACTTACTTCATCCTGCACTTTCAAGTTATGAAGACAGCATCTTTCCTTAGACCTCATAAACCAATCTTTGTAGCTTCAAACTTGTCTTCTGCATCTTCTTCACCTCTCTCAGCCATCGTAGAATTGAAGAGAGTTAGGACCTTGCTTTGGATTAGGCTTTGGCTTAAGGGGATATTGTGGCTGGTTTGATCTTCAATCCAGACCACTCAAATTTTCTCCATTTCAGCAATAAGGCTGTTCTACTTTCTTATTCTTATGTTCACTGGAGTAGGACTTTTATTTCCTTTAAGAACCTTTCCTTTGCATTCACAACTTGGCAGTTTGGTGTAAGAGGCCTAGCTTTTGGCCTACCTCAGCTTTAAACATTGCTTCTGCACTAAGTTTAATCATTTATAGCTCTTAATTTAAAGTGAGAGATGTGTGACACTTCCTTTCACCTGAACACTTAGAGGTCATTGTGGGGTTATTAGTTGTCCTAATTTCAATATTGTTATGCCTCACAGAATAGGGAGACCAATGGAGAGGAAAGAAAAGGAGGGGGGTGGCCTGTTGGTGGAGTAGTCAGAACACAAAAAAACATTACTCGATTAATGTTTGTTTCACCCCAAAACAATTACAATAGTAACACCAAAAATCACCAATTCTAGATCACCATAATAAAGATAGTAATAATTAAAAAGTTTAAAATATTGTGAGAATTACCAAAATGCAACAGAGACATGAGGTGAGCAAATGCAGTTGGAAAAATGGTGTTGATAGACTCGCTGGATGCAGTGTTGCCACAAACATTCAATTTGTAAAAAATGAAATATGTGCAAAGCATAGTGAAGTGAAATGCAATAAAACAAGGCGTGTCTGTGTTCAACATTGTCTTAAAAGCTCTTGTCAGATCAATGAAGCAAGAAAATGGGATAAAATCAACTAAATTAGAAAGAAAAATAGAACTTTTTCTATTTGGAGATGGCATAATCTTCTATAGCAACCCTAAGGGCTCCACTAAAACATTATTAGAATTAAAAAATGAGTTCCATAAACTTGCAGTATTTACAATACATGAAATGAAATCAATTATATTTCCATAAACTTGCAGTGAATTGTTCCAAAAAAACAATTATATTTACAATAACATCAAAAAAATGAAATATCTAGGAATAAATTTTAAAAGATGCACAAAATTCTGAAACAGAAAATATTATTGAAAGAAATTAAAGAACATCTAATGGAATGAAATTTTGTAGATTCTTGTGATTAGAAGTCTTGATATTATTAAGATAGCAATGTTCCCTAATGTGAGCTACATAATCAATTAATCTCTATCAGAATCACAGGTAGCTTTTTTTTTGTAGAAACTGATGAAGTGACCCTAAAATTTATGTGGAAACTCAAGGCATCCAAAGTATACAAAACAATCTTGGAACAAAATAAAGTTGGAGAACTCACTCTTCTCCCTTTCTAAACCTCTACAAACTAAAGACACCAGTACTTAGGAAAGATAGACATATATGAATGGAACAGAATGAGAATCCAGAAATACACCCTTACATTTATGGCCAATTGATTTTCAACAAGGGTACCAAAACAATTCAATGAAAAAAAAAAAAAAAACAAAAAACAATCTCTTCAGCAAATGATGCTGTACATCCACATGCACAAGAGTAAAGTTGGACCCCTACCTCACAGAATATACAAAAATTAACTTGGAAGGGATCAAAGATCCAAATGTAAGACCTAAAACGTTAATACTATGGTTAAAATCAGAGGTATAAATCATTGTGACCTAGGATTAAGAAATGGTTTCTTAGATATGACACCTACAGCATAAACTAAAATAACAACAAATATAGATAAATTGGAGTACATAAAAAATTTTAAACTTTTGTACTTCAATGGACATCAAGAAAGTGGAAAGACAACCTATACAATGAGATAAAAATATGTGCATATATTATAATGGGACTTAATCCAAAATGTGTATGTGGGATCCAAGGAATTTAACAAAAATCCCCTACCCCGGACAAGCAGAGCAAGACTAACTCCATTTTGTGCTACACCCACCATCTCATGTATAACCCCCACATGACCTGCTTATTGCTTAAGACACTCCCCCACCCTAGTCAAGCCACTGAGCACACCCTTACTGGAAACCGGCTCATATAGGAATGTGGAACCCTTAACCGCCAAAGAATGTAAGCCCCGCCTTTTGCCCGCCAAACTTGCGTGCCAGAGTGATAGGCTAGTTCAAACAGTTACTATAGGGTAAATTGTAATGCAATTGGCCATCTGCGTGTGGACTGACATGACTATGCAACGTTCTGTGTGTGTGACAATCTCATTGGCCACTGGCCCCTATAAAACTGCTACGCCTCTTAACCTAGGGGTCCACGTCCCTGCTCCACTGTGTCGGGTATACTTGGGCCCAAGCTCGAGCTTGCAAATAAACCCTCGTGCGTTTGCATCCGTATCTGCTCCTTGGTGGTCTCTTGGATTCGAAATTGGGGGCATTACATGTAAAATCATTCATAATTCAGCAATAAAAAGACAAATAACATAGGTAAAAATCGGCAAAGGATTTGATGACAGTGTTCTTCAAAAAACATATAAGTGGCCAAAACACATGAAAAGTTGTTCATTAAAATTAGTCATTAGGGACATGTAAAAAACACAATGAGATATGTCTTCAAACCCACTAGGGTACCTGTAATTAAAAAGACAAACAAATAACAAGTGTTTGCAAGAATACTGAGAAATTAGAACTCTCATACATTGCCAGTGTTCATGTAAAATGTGCTAGCCACTTTGTAAAACATTTTGCTGTTCTTCAAAATTTTAATCATAAAAATGTAAATAAACAGCTAAACTAAAAAAAATCGCAATTTGCATTTTTTCTCTCTTTTGCTACCATCTTTTCTTTCTTTCTCTTTATCTCAGCTCTAACTTCATAATCTGATTATTTGGAATGCCATCTATTTAAAACTCACTCTTATATTCTGTAGTAAATGTTTTTCCAAAACACATCTTTCTCTTACCATGATTGATGTTCATCTCTTGCATTTATGTTGTCATTGCTTATTTATTTCTTTTTCTTTTTTTATCTCTTACTTATTTCTTATTTTATTTTAATGTACCTGAATGAGAGTAAACTTTAATATTTGCCTCAAAACAATGTAATGAATTCTGTAATACCTTAAATGTGTTTATAAGCACTTAGAATCATCCTCCTAAATTTTGAGCTAGAAGCACGGGTTTGTGCATTTATTTTGTAAGTTTAATTCTGATACAACCTGAGGAAAATACAGAGAATAATGAGACTTTATTCAGGGCCAGAAAGAAAAATTTGACTCCATATATATTTATTCTAAGTTTGTCAGAATCACAGAACTAGAGATAGATGGTTCTCCAAACCTCAATTTAAAAATTTTTGTCTGATCTTTATGCAGAACAAACTGTTATGTCCACCATAACACGTCTTTCAACATAGAAGAGAAAGAAGGCATCTAATCATTGTCAATTGATTCTGAACCTAAAGAATTAAGTGTATTTAAAAAGATCAAGGGCCACATAGGAATGTGTGTAACAATTACACAGTTTATGATACTGGTATCAACTGGGATTTCTTGTATGCCTGAGATTCCTTTTTGGTTTTAGTTGAGAATAAAATTCTAAATATTTCAGTTGAAACCAATTAAAAAAAAATCAGTATGGGTGATGTTTACACCATTAAATAAAGAAAAATGAACCTGAAATTGAAGTTGGTTCTTGTCTCAAACCAGGTTAATGTTTCTTTCATTTTAGATTTTAGAGATAAAAAGAGAAATCTCTTCCATCTGTCACATGCGTGAGTATTTATACAATCTTGACTATGGCTTTTCGTAATCGTCAGTCCATGATACAATGGATGCAAACACCAGGGATAATACCCAATTGTCCACCCGGATTGGAATATCTGACTCAGGTATGGTAATGTGCTTCTGGTTGGAATGGCAAGAATATGAATTTGATAGTTTCAAAATACAATGTGTGTTATAGGAAAGCCTTTTGACTGCGGATTGAAGTATTTTACCTGTAACATTAAGATTTTTACATTTAATTTAAAATTTTGATTGAAGTAGTAAATTTACATTGTAGACATTATAACATTGCCATTTACAAATGTATTTCCTGAAAAGTCCATTTAAAAATGAATACTTGCTTTTTAAAGTAGGAAATTGGATTTTGAGAATGTAAGTAAAAACTGGCTTCAGGAATCTTCAGTTCGTCTATCTACTTAGGTATGGGAAGCCTGATATGCAATCGTGAAATGTGCACTATTACTAGGAAGATTGTCTCCAGTTCTCTACCAGATTTAATGACACTGAATTACTATCTTGTTTATTCAATCAATTCTGATTTAATTTCCTGTAATGCTGTCTCTGAATAATTAAGTTTGGCATTTCACATGACTAATCACTGGCCTCATCTTAGTTTTCGATACTTTAAAAGCTAAAGAGTATGTATGTTCCTTCTTAAAAAGGTTATTTACATTTTCAGTGCTTAATTATAAACTTGTCGCAAACAATGATATCAATCTAAGAAGATTCAATTTTGAATGTAAGTAAAGGGTAAAACTATGTTAAATTTTTTATTCTAAATTACAGTATAGATATTTCTCTGAATTAAAAAAAATATTTCTAATAAGTCTTTAAAAAATTTTGTGAACCTACTTTACAGACTGATAGTTTTTCATTTCCCTTTTCTTTTTTTTTATGTTTTTATTTTAATTCCAGTCAGTTAACATACAGTGTCGTATTACTGTACAATACAGTGATTCAACACTTCCATAAAACACCTGGTGCTCATCACAGGTACACTCCTTAGTACCCAACACCTATTTAACCCACCCCTCTTCATTTCCTTTTCCTGTGGTAAAAAAAAAAAAAAAAAGTTAAAACTTCACATTTAAATTAACTGACAAATGTTTCTCCTTAAGAAAGCCTTAACTATGGCAAATCTTCTTAATATTTCTATCCTAATAAATTGAAAGTTATGTCCATTTCTTAAAAAAAAATTTAATGTTTATTTATTTTTGAGAGAGAGAGAGAGACAGAGCACGAGCAGAGGAAGGCAGAGAGAGAGGGAGACACTGAATACTAAGCAGGCTTCAGGCTCTAAGCTGTCAGCATAGAGCCCATTGCAGGGCTAGAACTCACAAACCATGAGATCATGACCCAAGCCAAAGTCGGATGCCCAACCAATTGAGCCACCCAGGAGCCCCTATAATTCCACTTCTTAGGAATTAGGGGGTATGTCTCCATGTATTTCATACTTATTAAGCTCATTTAGTGGGGGTATATTTCATAAGCAATGCTCCCTTACATGCAAAGGAGATCTTATCAATCTCCCAATTTCTCTCTGAAATTCCTCAGCTACCAGATCTTCTGGTTTAAAGATAGTTTAAAAACCTAGTAAGTGTTGTGTATGTGGGGACACAGCAACAACTCATAAAGTGATACCATGTAGGATCTGAGTATTGCCTAAGTTGTTTTTTTTTTTTATTTTTTTAAATATAAATCATGGTAATAAGTGAAGAACAGTTGAAACCTAAAGATGCTATTCACTGTATAAGACCAAATCGTCTCATGGTATGACCCATTGTTTTTTGGTTTTGTTTTAATTTTTTCATTAGAGAGAGAGAGAGAGAGAGAGAGAGAGAGAGAGAGAGAGATCGAGCATGGGGGAGGGGCAGAAAGAGAGGGAAAGAGAGAATCCCAAGCAGGCTCCACACTCTTGGTTCGTGAGCTCCTGACCTCAACTGAAGTCAAGAGTCATGCTTAACATCATGCTTAACTGACTGAGCCACTCAGGTGCCCCCGTGTGACCGGTCTTATAACACACCAGAGGGTCCTGCCTCCTTTTTTAAATTTTTTTTTTTAACGTTTATTTATTTTTGAGACAGAGAGAGACAGAGCATGAACGGGGGAGGGTCAGAAAGAGAGGGAGACACAGAATCCGAAACAGGCTCCAGGCTCTGTTTCAGCACAGAGCCCGAGGTGGGGCTGGAACTCACGGACCGCGAAATCATGACCTGAGCCGAAGTCAGCCGCTTAACCGACTGAGCCACACAGGCGCCCCTCCTGCCTCCTTTGAAATAACATTCACACTGCACAGATGATTGCATTTAGACTCATTCCTGGTTCACATTTTCTTTTCTGCTTTTTGTTTTCACATCTCCACAGCCACACTGCCTCCCATGTTTTCAGATTTCTCATGCTCCAGAATTCAGATCATTTTGTTATTTTGTATCTGTCTACACATTTCTGCAGACAGCCCTGCAAGCCCTTTATTGATTCAGAATGTTTTCAGAGAAATGCAGTTAAGCTCTGGTAGTGAGGTATCCCTTGCACACTCCCAGGCTCCTTCCAATGTTCCAGATGAGAAGCTGGAAAACACAACAGTAAAAACTAGAAAGGAATCTAAATCTTTGAGGCTAAGAGCCGCCACTTAGAAGATGACCTTGACTCTATCATCATTGTATTCATTACACAAAATATTTAAACTCCTCATGTGCATGTAACACCTGCTTCTGCTTCCATTGTTTCAAGCTCATTTATCTTTTTGTCTTTGTGGTAGTTGTGTTTGATACTACAAACTAAAAAGGTGCTTTTATCAACAAGATTTCTCAAAACATTTACAGAACTAGCTTTGAGGAAATCTAGATTTTTCCCAGCATCAGCATTTGGATTAGTAATTGTATTTTCTCACTGTGATGTTGGTCTGTGTAAATAACCAACTAGTGACTCTTGGGTTCATTATTTTTTTTAGTATAACTGACATACAATATTATATTAATTTCATATGTGTAACTTAGTGATTTGAAAGGTTTGTACTTTGTGTTCTTTTTACAAGTATAGCTAACATCTGTCCCATTACACCCAACACTAATACAATATCATTGTATTCCTTACACTGTGCTTTTTATTCCCATGACTTATTCATTCCATAACTGGAAACCTATATCTCCCACTCCCTTTTACCTTTTTTGCCCAACTCCCTACACCCCACTCCCCTCGGGCAACCATTAGTTTTTTCTCTATATTTATAGGTCTGATTGCTGCTTTCATTTGTTTTTTGTTTTGTTTTGTTTTTTAGATTCCACTTATGAGTGGAATCATATGTATTTGTCTTTCTCAGTCTGACTTATTTCACTTAGCATAAATCTTCTAGGTCCATCCATGTTGTCTCAAATAGCACCATTTCATCCTTTTTGATGGCTGTGTAATATTCCATTGTGTATATATACTACATTTTTCTTATCCATTCATCTATTGATGGACATTTAGGTTGCTTCCATATCTTGGCTATTGTAAACAATGCTGCAATAAGTATAAGGGTACATATATATTGTTTTATTTTTAGTCTCTGTGTGACCCACCAGTGGCAGAGAGTTCCAGTCCCTCTTTTCTTTTTTGCTTTTGTCTATTTGTAGAATTGCCAGATAAAATACAAGACACTGAGTTACATTTGAATTTCAGATAAATATTTTTTAGGTTAATGTTTCATGCATTATTTGGCATATAGTTGTGGTAATAATTATTCATTATTTAGCTGAAATTCAAGTTTAACTGAGCATTCTGGTGTTTTTGCTTTGTTTTATTTTGTTTTCCTAAATCTAGCAACCCTATCAATTTGGTCACAGAATTTCACTTATAGCATGTAAAGTCTTCTAGTCTTCACTATCTTTAACATGGAACAGACGACCTTTTTTCCCACATCTTCTACTTCCCTAAAGAGAGCATTGAGGAACGTTACCTGCTTGCATGATGGGTTTGGGTTTCTATTTAAGACATCTTTATAATTATATTTAACTCATAATTGTGCTTTGGATAAATGTCTGACTGTACTTGTAATTGTTTAATACTTAACAAAAACATTTTTAGAGTATACTGTATATGGATGGCCAGAAAAAAAAAAAAAAACCTACCTCACATTTAGACTAGTATATAACATTTGACAGAAAATAGAGAGATGTCAATAATAGGTCAATTACTTTAAATGTCCTAAATATAGGTATTAACGTATATGTTTATTGGTAGATACTTTAAGTTTAATTTAATTACTTCATACTACCTATCTTTATTTTCTACTCTATTAGATAAATCAGTTACTAGTGTGTCAACGTTTCGATCTTCTGGAAGGTATGTACCAAACACACAGATATATTCACTCTTGAATGTATAACTTGTGCTGTAGCTCAGCCACTCCCTATACATTAAAATGCTTCATGTGACTGGGCAAAAATAAACCTTGAAGTATGGTGAGAATATACAGAAGTCCATAGTCAATGATAGATAAATACAATAGTAGTCTTCTCATGGAAAAGGACAAAGGTATTGGCTCCAGATCACTCCTAAAAATTCTAGTCTGCACTTTTAGTCCTGCTAAACAGTAGGTCTATTTCCTAAAAGAGTCTTCCCATCCTAAATTCCTCAAATACAGGTATTTCAGAGAAGCAGTGATTGCAGATCCTTCAGGAATTCTGCTAGGAGAAGCAGAATCCAGGTAAGTTTCTGGGCAGTTCAATTCCACTCCCAAGCCAGAGAAATTGTTCTTTAGAATGCAACTGTTTACCTCTATCTCCTCAACTTAGTACAAGTATTTGTTTCATGTATATGAGGCTATGATACATGTAAATAAAATTAAATCAGTGTTTAGTTAAAAAAAATTATCACCATTGTGACTCTGTGTATACACGTTAGAGAATCTAAGACTAAAATAGACATTTATGGTTTGGTTTTATTCACAAAAACTTTTCAATTTTGGCATTCAAAAATGAATGTTTTCTTTGTTTTTTTTTTCCTGCTGCCCTGCACTGAATGACTCATTTTATGAATGACCATTTATTCCAGAATCCCCACTGAATACCTATAATGAACAAGACACAATGGTAGCCATTTGAGAAAATCAAAGAGTCAGACCTGGGCTTTCCCTGAAATGTGGGTGAATATACTTAAATAAAATACATAGTATGGAGCCATAAAATTAATGAGAGAAGGAAAAACCAATTGTGAGAATTTATAGGACAGAAAAAGCCACAGTTATAATTTATAGTACTTATAATACTTAACAATTTAAGTAGTCACAGAAATAGCAAAAATATTGAGAAAAATCTAACCATCTATGTTATAGGGAACTAATTTTCCAAACTACTTATTCTCAAAGTGTGGTTGCCAGACCACCAGCATCAACATCATCTGGGAACATGTTGGAAATCCAGTTCCCAAGCTTCATCACAGACCTACTAAATCACAAAATCTAGAGGTGGGGTTCCACTACCTGTGTTTTAGCAAGCCCTCCAGATGGTTCTGATGCAGGCTAAAAATTGCTCTAAATGATACATTCATATAATTTAACATTGTGCATTTATTTAAAAGAATGAGACAGGTCTACAGAATTGTCAGGAATAGCTCCAAGATATATTGCTAAGTATCAAAAATAATTACAAAGTAGTGCATATAATAATGTGTGTGTGTGTGCATTTAAATTTTTTTTTAATTTTAAAATTTAAAAATTTTTAAAATTCGTGCCATGCCTATGTAATTCCTACTCATAAGAAGAAATTAAATTTAAAAGGCAGTCAAAATACTTTTTCATCAATACTGAATCAGGATTTATCTTTGAATATTAAATAAAAATGAATATCTTTTAAATGTTTTTGTAATATGAAAACAATTATGTTCATAGGCCACCAAAATCATTAAAAAATGAGGAAATTCTGTAAATACCTGTTTCCAAGGTTAACATTAAAATGAAATGCTAAATGTATATTAGTGTAACATATACTTATTAAACATACTCATTCAAGAACATCTGAAATTTTAATAAAAGGTAGGAAAAAATATCATCCTTGTACAACTACTGATATATTTCCTTTGAAGGCTTGTAAAAAATATTCCTTTGATGAATTTTTTAAATCACGTTTAATCATTGTCTATGCAATTTTTTTAGAGTTATTCACTTAATGGGGTTTTTTTTGGTTTTATTTATCTTAAAACCCAACTTTTTTTTTTTTAGATTTCAAGGTTTTATTTAAATTCTACTTAACATCACTTGCATGTAACAGCCAGTGCTCATCACAACTAGTGCCCTCCATAATACCCATCACCCATTTAGCCCATCCCCCCACCCACTTGCCTCCATCAACCCTCAATTTGTTCTCTATCCTTAAGAGTTTCTTATGGCTTGCTTCCCTCTTTCTTTTTGTTGCCCTTTCCCTTATGTTCATCTGCTTTGTTTCTTAAATTGTAATATGAGTGAAATCATATGGTATTTGTCTTTATCTGAGTCACTTATTTCACTTAGCATAAGAAACTCTAGCTCCATCCGTGTCATTGAAAATGGCAAGATTTCATTCTTTTTGACGGCTGAGTGATATTCCATTGTATATACACACATCTTGTTTATTCATTCATCAGTTGATAGACACTTAGGCTTTTCCCATAGTTTGGCTATTGTTGTTAATGCTGCCATAAGCATTGGGGTGCATGTGCCCCTTCAAATCAGTATTTCGTATCCTTTAGGTAAATGCCCAGGAGTGCAATTGCTGGGTCATAGGTCGTTCTATTTTTAACTTTTTCAGGACCCTCCATACTTAAAACCCAACATTTTTAAAAGCAACACAATAATCCTCAAAGGGGATACTATTATTGCCTCTTGTTGGGTATTTACTTTGTTTCTTTGTTTCCATTTTACTTTTCTAAGTAGGGCAGAAGTGAACATTTGGTATAGAAATCACTTAAACAAATTTAGGACTGTTTTTTCTGTATGATCACAGAAGTAAAATTATTAGGACAAAAGATAACATTTCCATTTGCTTGCAAAAGAGATGAATTTAATTATTATCTTATGTGGATAATATATAAAAGTGCTTACTGTCTCCAGTTTAGCATCAGGAAAATATTTTTTCTTGGGTTCTACTATCCAGATTAAAGACTGAATGTCTTTTTCATATCCTCAGGAAGAAAAAGATGAAGAGGAATAACATTTAACATAATTCAAAACATAATAGTAACATGACAGTAAATAGAGTTAATTTCTCAGAAATTCAAAAATGGTTAAAAAAAAAAGCTATTATGGAATTTTAGCAGTGAAAGGGACCAGAGAGTAGCTATATCTGTTTTAGTTTTTGTAAGGCAAAAATAAGACACCGATGAAGATAAGTGACTTACAGTCAAGTAATTTATTACCAAACCTAAGTTGCATATTTGAAGGTAATTTAATAGGCAATTTACATGTCTCCCATCACTAATAAAACACCACATTGTTTCATTCTTTAGTTCTCGGTTGTTTTGCAACAAGTAAAAAATATGAAGTCATGAACAATCAAGGACACAGAATTTATTATGCAGAAGAAAGAAGTAATTGTTTTCTCCGATATCTCTGTGGACCTTCAAGACCTTTTACCATGACAATTTATGATAATGTAGGCCGTGATGTCATTACTATGCATAGAACTCTAAGAAGTAGCTGTTGCTGGAGAAACTGCTATGTACAAAAGGTCAGTAAATATTGTTTCTACATGATTGAGAATGTATCTGAATTCTTTCAAAAAAGCCTCAGCACTGAGCAGTATGTTACAACATTGGGTTTGGCTACACAAAATTTTCCAGAATGAAATATGTTAGAGAATTATGTATTTGTATCACATACCTGTAACAGAGTGAGAATAATACACAATACTGTAAATATTTTTCAGGCAATGGAGATCACAAGATCTTTAGGTTTATCAAAGTTTTCTATTCTAAAATAGTGTGGTTTTTATTTGAATTTTTCTGCATGTACTTTTCAGCCTTTGAATGGAGTGTCAATGAATTAGGGGCTGTGAAGTCTCATTCCATTTTCAGCTGTGTTTCTCAGACTGGTCCCTTGAGCTTTCACTGAGTGGGATCCCTTTCTTTCCTTTCTTGTTAGTGATATCTGGATTCCTAGGATCTCAGGAATAGCTTGTTGTTGTCACTTGTCTCACTACATCCACTTGTATTTTGAGATGTGGAGCTATAATTTTTGCATCTACTTTTGATAAAGAATTTGATAGTGGTTTTGTTTGTTTAGCTATCATACTTGTCCTGTCCTTTTCTGTGAGAGTTTTGAGAAGATTCACAAGCTACATCACCACTGCCACCTTCTTGACTTAGCAGTCTGAGGAATACTTATACATGGTGAGAGAGAGAGAGAGAGAGAGAGAAAGGAAGGAAGGAAGGAAGGAAGGAAGGAAGGAAGGAAGGGAGGAAGGGAGGGAGGAAGAAGGAAGGAAGGAAGAAAAAAAAGAGAGAGAGAAAGAGAAAAAATTATATTCTAGAGAAACAATGCCTCTCAAACTCTCGTTTCTTTTTTTTTTTTTTCAAACTCTCGTTTCTTAGGCCACCTGTATTCTTCTTCAGAAAGAACTAGTATTACAAGTTTAACTATTCTACCAGCATTATTCTATGAATATTTGTGTAATATGCACATATGTATGCCATACATGTGTCTTTTTAACAAAATTGGCAGATATTCTTCTCTAATTTTTTAATACAAAACAATGTAACGTGAAGATTACATCAGTATGTATAGAGCTTCCTCCGCACTTAAAAATGCTTGGATAATAACCCATCGTGTAGATGGTACACCATAATTTATACAACCAATCTCTGAACTGGGCTTTACTTTAAAAACTTTTTTTAATGTTTATTTATTTTTTGAGAGAGAGACAGAGCACGAGAGGGGGAGGGGCAGAGAGAGAGAGAGGGAGACACAGAATCTGAAACAGGCTCCAGGCTCCGAGCTGTCAGCACAGAACTCAACGCAGGGCTGGAACTCACCAACCATGAGATCACGACCTAAGGTGCTTAAACAACTGAGCCACCCAGGCGCCCTGAACTGAGTGTTAAATCACAATCAACTTAAAGTGCTTTAGTGAATTTAAATTTACATTTGCATAGAGGGACAAAAGTCCTTCACATATTGGTAATAGAACAGTTGTCGGTGCGACTGGGGTTTAAGACATGTCTCATGAGCATGGCAATTTAAAAAGTGATCTTCATAAACACCTAAAAAATGTTATTATCCCCCTTTTGCAAATGGAAAACGAGTTACAGAGAGTTTAGGGACACGTCCACATTTCATGTAGTAAATGAACAGCAGCATCAGGTCTCAATTTGGGGGGTTCAATACCTACATCCTAGTTTTTTTTCACTTCCACGTCCATTCCCAAACATAGGGCATGCTTTAAACACAGAAAGTTCTGTTCACCTATACAAAACACTAATAGGTAGCATATAACTAATTTGCTGCTTACAAATCAAAATAAATCTCATTTGACCAATACTACATTTCTCAATCTTTTGTAGCTAAAAGTTGAAGCTCCTCCTGGTGAAAAAATTGGATATGTGTATCAATACTTTCACCCATTTTTGCCAAAGTTTAAAATAAAAAATGAGAATAAGGAGGATGTAATGAAAATTAGAGGGCCATGTATGCTTTCCAGCTGTGTCACGGATCTAGATTTTAATGTGAGTATTATAAGATAATCATGTTCAAATTAGTTGTTTGACTATTTTCTAATATATTAATAAATCTGATTAAAATAAGATAAAAATGTTATCATGATGTTATAACTATTTGACTATTTTTTAAATTGAGTTTCTAACGCATAGTTTCCTTGCTTCATTGAGGCTTACACACTTGTGATTATAAGCCATCTTTTTTTTAGTTTTCTTTTAATTTTTTTTAACATTTATTCACTTTTGAGAGATAGAGAGAGAGAGAAAGAGAGAGTTCAAGTAGGGGAAGGGCAGAGAGAGAGGGAGACACAGAATCTGAAGCAGGCTCCAGGCTCTGAGCTGTCAGCACAGAGCCCGACGCGGGACTTGAACTCATGGACTGTGAGATCACAGCCTGAGCCAAAGTCAGATGCTCAACCGACTGAGCCACCCAGGTACCCATAGGGCATCTTTTTAAGCTGTATTTCAAGTATGTAGTTATTAAACAAGTATGGTATTTAATATTTCAAGGAGTAGTGAAAGAGAAAATTAAGCTTTATTGCAATGAACAATGACATAAATTGGGCATTAATTATAAATTTTAAATAATATAATAATATAATAAATAAGTTATATATAAATGTTATATAAATATTTGTGTTAATTTTTATAAAATTCTGAAACTCTTATGATACAATTTTGTTAAATTTTTATGTGTTTATGTGTTTACTGATACATTTATCAGATTATGGCCAACATTCAGATAATAATTTGGGAGGTTAACTACTAAAAATACTAAATATAGTTAACAAAACTAAGCAACCGGCTAACTACACTTAGTTAAATCTGGTTTCCTAAGCAACATTCCTAAGCAATATTCCTAAGAATACTGTTGGTTTGATACAATATTTGATTGGAAAAAAGTATTCGGTCTTCTATTAAGGACATGTTTGCTTGTTTTTTTAATCTGAAATCATGTCTCCGTTTTTTTTTCCTTCTCTAGAATTATGTTAATTCAGTTTAGTAATTACTGATCTGATTGGCACCTGCATGTACTGATTAAGTAAAACATATTTAAGCAAATGAATTATGACAATAACATGGTTAGTTTCAAAAATGAATAAAATGAACACACAGGATTCTACTCTTTTGTATTTCAAGTTGAAAACCAATGGAACAGAGTGGCCTATGCATAAAACTCTAGAAGCCAAAGCTACAGTGGTTCATTATTTTTTTTTTTTTAATTTTTTTTTTCAACATTTATTTATTTTTGGACAGAGAGAGACAGAGCATGAACGGGGGAGAGGCAGAGAGAGAGGGAGACACAGAATCGGAAACAGGCTCCAGGCTCTGAGCCATCAGCCCAGAGCCTGACACGGGGCTCGAACTCACGGACCGCGAGATCGTGACCTGGCTGAAGTCGGACGCTTAACCGACTGCGCCACCCAGGCGCCCCAATGTGGTTCATTATTAATGACATAAAAAAATAAAATGCTTTCCGTGTGTTGTTTATATCTCACACGATATAATAAATCCTACTTTATTCAGATATCTTCGGAGCCTTCTCTAAGGTTTTGTATAAAATACTTCCTCTTTCTTCTAAGCGTGAAACAAAGTGATTTTATAGCTGGCACTCTTTGGGTAAACTCTAAGAATCAGCAAGAAAGGGAAGTACAATGCTGTGAAAAAGTCATGTTGTGAACGAATGTGGGCAGCCCTTTCAATACTTTTGGTTATGAAGAGTAGGAAAGAGATAAAGGAGTAATGAGTTACAGGAACAGGGACTATGGTAAGGGAAGTAAGCCATTCATCTTGGGTACAAAATTTAAGAAAGCACCAAAAAACTGAATAATTCAGGCAAATGATAACTTGAATATAATCTTTTTTAAAATCAATCTTTTTAAAAATTAAAATCATAATGCATATCCATTATGAACAAATTTATAAACAAAAATTTAAGACAGAAACTGACTATGCACTTGTGTGACTTATCTCACTGCTTTACCCTCATCCTATTCCCGGCTGAATGGGGCACAAGGTGGATAGGAAGGTATTTTTGAAAGGTATATCCTCAGCATGTTTTGATTTTAAAGGAAAGGCTCCAAATGGGAGGGAAAGTGTGGAGAAACAGTAGATGTTAAATATTTGATGAATTCTGCTCTTACTTGGTATGGGACCTAGTGCACATATAGGAAATAAGCCTCAAACGGGAGCAGAAATAGCTTATTCATCATATTCACCATAACAGGAAGGAAGTAGGGAGTGTTGGTATAGATACAATACTGTCTGTGTCCATTTGTATGTAGATATTTCTCTCTCTCTCTCTCTCTCTCTCTCTCTATATATATATATATATATACACACACATACATATATATTAATGTAAATGTATTTTCCTTGTGACTTTCTTAAAAACATATTCTTTTCCCGGGGCGCCTGGGTGGCGCAGTCGGTTAAGCGTCCGACTTCAGCCAGGTCACGATCTCGCGGTCCGTGAGTTCGAGCCCCGCATCGGGCTCTGGGCTGATGGCTCAGAGCCTGGAGCCTGTTTCCGATTCTGTGTCTCCCTCTCTCTCTGCCCCTCCCCCGTTCATGCTCTGTCTCTCTCTATCCCAAAAATAAATAAACGTTGAAAAAAAAAAAAAACATATTCTTTTCTTTACCTTACTTTGTTGTAAAAATATATATAGGAGGGGCACCTGCGCGGCTCAGTCAGTTGAATGTCTGGCTCATGATTTTGGCTCAAGTCATGATCCCAGTGTCATGGGATTGTACCCCACATCAGGCTCCTCACTGAGCATGGAGGCTGCTTAAGATTCCCTTTCCCTTGGGGCATGTGGGTGGCTCAGTCAGTTGAGCATCCGACTTTGGCACAGGTCATGATCTCACAGTTTGTGGGTTCGAGCCCTGCATCAGACTCTGTGCTGATGGCTCAGAGCCTGGAGCCTGCTTCAGATTCTGTGTCTCCCTCTCTCTCTGCCCCTCCCCCACTAGCACTCTGTCTCTGTCTCTCTGTCTCAAAAATAAACATTAAAAAAAATTATCTTTCTCTCTGCTCTACTCCCCCACATGTGCACACTATCTCTTTTTAAAATAAAAAAATACAGTATATGATATATATAACTTACAAAATATGTGTTAATTGACTATTCATGCTATTAGAGAAGATGACGTTCTAGGAATTAGTAAGTTCCTGTCAACTAGTTTCCATTTTCTTTGCAATGTAAAATATAAGATATTAGGCTAAGGATGAGGGAGAGTGGCATTGCCAGTTAGTTACGAAAACACTGGAGAAATTTTGACAAGATTACACAAAACTCTTCCATATCTTTCTTTTCCCAAATTCCTTAACGTTACTTACAAGGCTATGTATGATCTATCTCTTCATACCTCTCTTTTCTCATTTTCTGCAACTAGCCCCATTCTTCACTTTGCTCCAGCCCCTCCCAACTCAGGGCCTTTTCACATGTTGCTGACTCTCTCACTACTACCCTGATCACTAATTCCTATTGATCCTCTAAGTCTCGACTTAAATGGTGCTTTGCCTAAGAGGCTCCCTGTAAAATCACCCCCCCCCCCGCCCAATTCTTTAAGCCTGCCTATTATCTCCCAACTGTATTCCATTACATCAGCCTACCTTTTCCTCCATGGCATTCATTACCAGACAAGTAGTAGGAGTTATCACAGATAAATTTATTTTCTTATATAAATATTGTCTTATATGAATATCTCTTATATTGAGAAATAAATATTAGTTGGTATGAGAAGTGATGCTCTAGGGAACTTCGATAAGTAGGGAGAAAAGGGGATGAGAAAGGGTAGAGGGATTCAGAAAATTAAGATCTCAATAAAGAGCTAACTGTGTAAAACAGATGAAAAACTAGTGGTTTTCATTTAAAGTTAAATTGATTCTCAAGTCAAATTTAAGCAATTATATTTATTAAGCATATATATTGATATAATTTATATGTAATATAAAGTTATCACATATAAAATACCATATGTATCATATACAGCTGACCTTTGAACAACACAGGTTTAAAATGCACAGGTCGGGGCGCCTGGGTGGCGCAGTCGGTTAAGCATCTGACTTCAGCCAGGTCACGATCTCGCGGTCTGTGAGTTCGAGCCCCACGTCGGGCTCTGGGCTGATGGCTCAGAGCCTGGAGCCTGTTTCCGATTCTGTGTCTCCCTCTCTCTCTGCCCCTCCCCCGTTCATGCTCTGTCTCTCTCTGTCCTAAAAATAAATAAACGTTGAAAAAAAAAATTAAAAAAAAAATGCACAGGTCCACTTATATGCAGATTTTTGCCAATAAATATATGTACAGTAGCGTAAGGATATTTTCTCTTCCTTATGATTTTCTTAATAACATTTTCTTTTTTCTAGCTTATTTTACTGTAAGAATACAGTATATAATACATATAACATAAAATATATATTAATTGATTTATGTTATCAGTATGACTTCTTGTCAATAGTAGGCTATTAGTGGTTAAGGTTTTGGGGAATCCGTTGTTATACACAGATTTTCAACTGCCCAGGGGTCTTAGCACCTCTAACCCCTGTGTTATTCAAGGGTGGACTGTATAATCAATTGTGTACAATAATTTGAACATCTTCTTTTAGATAGATATTGTCTGTAGGTGTTTTTCCAAGTTATTATGTATCATATTGCACATTCTATTTATTGCAGGAAACGACCAACATGATTATAACTCATATGGTTATATTTAATTACTAAAATCGAGATAGGAATACCTATTTTTATTTCAGATCTTTCATCTAAGATTATATATATACATATATACATATATATATTTTTTTCTTTTAGTTATTGTCTCTGGATGAAGAAATAGTTCTTGGCAAAATTTCAAAAAAATGGGCTGGATTTATGAGGGAACTATTCACCAATGCTGATAAATTTGGAATCCAGTTTCCATTGGATCTTGATGTTAAGATAAAAGCACTGATGCTTGGAGCAAGTTTCCTCATTGTGAGGCTACTTTTATTTTATTTAGCTTAAAATCCTATTTTCTGAGATTACCATTGCACCTTTGCTAATATTTTTGCTCAAATCTAGATTGACCGCAAATTGTATTTTTTGGTCTAGTTTTAAGTCCCCAAAATCATATCATGGATTTAGTTTTCACATTGCAAAGGGTGTAAAAACTAGTGTCCTGTAAACATGATCACTGAAGTTGAAATCCTTGATGAAAAATGAGACTAAATTGCTAAAACTAGGAACAAAATGGCTTGTTCATTGTAACTTACTGTTATTTCCTACAATTTAAAAATGTTATAAGTTTCTTTTTGTAATCACTGTTAATTTGGAAACTATAGATATGTAGACATTTTAAGAAGGAAAATATTGCTCTTGATTATATTAGGGTCTTTGGAGCCAAATGAACATAAGAAATTACCTTCATTCTCTAAATATTATGAAATGATAAAAAATGGCAAGAGACATATGCAGGTCTGGGTCACACAATGCCTCATAAATAGTATTAAAAATTTGGAGAAACAGAAAAAAAAAACAGATTAAGTAGTATATTGAATATAACTGAAGAAAAAGGGAACAAAGAAATGCGGTAGAGAAAAGGATTCATAACGTAGTAGAGAGAGACAAATCAATATGATAATCAAGAGTTCCAAATAAGATACGAGAACAGGTAACTCCTAAAAAAAATTTCAGAACCAAGAAATATGAACTCAGTGATACATAAAGGACAAATATCCTAAGTAATATAACTTAAAATTAACATCTAAATATAGATGTTAAGAGTGAAGCAGAATAGCAAAGAAAAATAAGTAACCACAAAGGAAAGACAAATCACCTGCAAGCAATGAGACTGACAACTGACTTCTCAACAGAAACAGTGGAAGCCAGAAGACCGTAGAATGGTATCTTCAAGGTACTGATTAAAAAACAATCTTGGGACGCCTGGGTGGCTCAGTGGTTAAGGTCCGACTTTGGCTCAGGTCACGATCTCGCAGTTGGTGGGTTTGAGCCCTGCATCGGGTTCTGTGCTGGCAGTTCAGAGCCTGGAACCTGTTTCTGATTCTGTGTCTCCCTCTCTCTGCCCTTCCCCCACTCGTGCTCCCTCCCTCTCTCTCTCTCTAAATAAACATTAAAAAAAAATCTTAACTCTCACATTCTATTTTCTTCAAGACTATATCTTAAAGATGAAAGTAAAATAAATAAATTTGCATATCAAGAAACCCAGATTTTTACAACACCTAGATTATTGTAAAGTGTATACAACACTTCAGGAAGAAGGAGCATGCTCTGAAAACGATCATCTGAGGTTCAATAATATTCATGAGCAAATAAAATGCTAGCCACATTTGTTAATGTAAACATGTTTTTAAAAATAAAATAATAGCAAATATCTAATTTGTGAGGTCAAAAAAAAACAAAACAAAAATACTAGCTAATAAAAATATATGAGTTATGAGAAGTTATTAGAATTAAAATGTTCTAAGGTCTTTGTATTGTTCAGGAGATAAGTTAAATGTGCATGTTAAAATGTCATGGGTAATGAGTAAAATAACAAAAAGACTGGAAATTTGAAACTAGTATAGAGGAAAAGTGGGAATAAAATACCAGAAAGCAAATAAACCACCAAACAAACAAAACCCACAGTGGGGGAAAAAGGAGAGAAAAGCATGGAGAAAGTTGGGGCAAAAAGAAATAGAAAATTGAAATGGTAGAAAATAATTATTCAGTTATATCAAGATATCAATTAAATATGTTCTATACAATTTTGTTTACAATATTCACAATAAATGTAAATGGGAAAAACTTGAAAGTTAAAAAATAGAAATTGTTAGGTTAGATTTTTAACATTTTTTTTTATTATTTATTCATTTTTTGAGAGAAAGAGAGAGAGTGAGCATGAGTGGGGGAGGGGCAGAGAGAGAGGGAGACACAGAATCCGAAGCAGGCTGCAGGCTCTGAGCTGTCGGCAGGGATCCTGATGTGGGGCTTGAACCCACCAACCACGAGATCATGACCTGAGCCGAAGTCAGATGCCCTACTGACTGAGCCACCCAGGCGCCCTTAAATTATATTTTTAAATTATCCCCAGGTTCTTAATGGGTGACAAATCTAAATTAATGAAAAAAAATGTAAAGAAAGAAAATATGGGTAAATGTATAACAGAAAAATACTAACCACAAAAGCTAGTAAAGCTAATACAAAAAAATTTTATTTTAAGACAAAAAAACATTAGGGATAGAGATCGAGAAGGTAACTACATTATTAATAAAAATTCCATTCAAAAGAAATATAATAATTCTTGACTTTGTGCCCCTAAGATCAATGTTATACAATGTTTATCAATGTTTAACATTGAGAAAAATGTTATATTGTTAGAGAATGACAAGTTCATCATAGTGGGAAATTTATGCACCCCTTTCGATTTTTACTTGGTGTAGGAGACAGAAATATAGTAAAATTATTTAAAATTTGAACCAAAAAAAGTAAGGTTGATTTAATGGATGCATGTAGAACTTTGTGTTAAACAAGTAGATAATATAAGTTGTTCTCAAAAAAAGGTTTTTACAAGAATTATTCTCATAATGGGGCAAGAAATAAGTCTCAACAAATTTCAGGGAACTGGTATCACTTGGACCTTGGTGTCACAGCAAATAACATTAAATTAGAAATTGATTGGGGCGCCTGGGTGGCTTGGTCGGTTGAGCGTCTGACTTCGGCTCAGGTCATGATCTCACCGTCCGTGAGTTCGAGCCCTGCGTCGGGCTCTGTGCTGACAGCTCAGAGCCTGGAGCCTGTTATGGATTCTGTGTCTCCCTCTCTCTCTGCCCCTCCCCTGTTAATGCTCTGTTTCTCTCTGTCTCAAAAATAAATAATCGTTAAAAGCAAAAATTTAAATTAGAAATTGATAAAGATACACATTTTAAAATATTTGGTATATATAGAAATGTGTACATAACTCAGGGGTAAAAAGTAACACATAATAAAATTTTAAAATATATCAAATTGTATACTAACTAAAATATTACACACCGAATCTTTTGGGATGCAAGTAAAGTTAAAGAGCAATGTATAACTGTAAATACTTGCTGAAGAAAAGAAGAAAAGTGGAAAATTAATGAGCTAACTTTCATCTCTAAAAGGTTTGTAAAAGAACAGAACAAACCCAAACCAAACATAAGGAAGGAGATGGTGAATTATTGACCAAAGATAAATGAACAAACAGCACCCATCCCTGGTCTCTAGATGGAAAGAATTTTTAAAGTAAATAAATCACAAAGTAACAAACTACTAAATTACAATACCTTAAACTTCTGTACCTTAAAACAAATTACAATATTAAATATTTAATAGCAAACAATAAAGGAAATATGTGCTTCAAATATGACCAAGGAATAATATCCTTATATTAATATAAATTTTACCCCTTTTCATTTTTTCTAATGACAAAGTCTCAATGCTGATGAAAGTTTAGTAAATCAGGCAGTCATGAGCTACAGGTACAATTTTGGGGAACAAACTGAAAACATCGATTAAAATTTTTTTTTCCATTAAAATTTTTAATGTTCATATATTTCATATGCTTTACTTTCTTCTAAAAAACTAATACAAATGCAGAAAAATAATTATGTGTACTCTAGTAAATAGCAATGTATACTCTCTGTAGCAAACATCACTCTAATAAATTAAAAACCTAAAACAACCTAAAATATACAGTATGAGATTTATTAAAACCACATTATGAGACATCTCTAAAACAGAACGTTAAAGACTCAAACTAAATGTTCAATAAATGAACTTTAATGGCATGAATACTCAGAATATATTATGCAGTAAAAATAATAGGTTATAAGCATATTATTATACCAATTGTGTGTGTCTGGAAAGACTTTGAATCAAAATATTAGTGGTAGTTTTGCAAGGATTGGAAATACAACGTTTTCCCTTCTCTATTCCTACACTTTTTTATATTAAGTATACATGATGAAAAAGTATAGAAAAAATGTAGTAGAATTAGTTGCTGTTCTCTAAGGGCCTTTATATTCAAATTTATTATGTTGGTGTGTTTGAGAGTAGACAAATATTCATTCTTATTCCCTTAGAAGTTGCTTTCTTATAGGTCTGATTCTCAGAATTCTCTTTTAATAGGTTTTATAATCATGTTATTATAACACAGGACCCTAAAATCACTCTCATGTCTAAGGCCTGCACCTTAAAAACCAACCTAATTACATTCCTTTTTCATTTTATTCTAGGACTACATGTACTTTGAACACTGGCCATAAGTTTTGCCAGCTTTCAGCAAAATTAAACAACTTTCACTGAGAATATTTAAATAAAGTTTTATTTCACTATAATTATTTGTATAAATTTCTTCTGCATAATAAACCACACCACAATTTAGGAACTTGAAGCGATCATTTTATTTAGCCCAGGATTCTGCTGTACAGTTCTCCAGGTCAAGACCTTGTTCACTCTTGCGTGTACAGTCAGTTAACAGATTGCTTGGGGACTCTCTCATCCCAGGTGGCCTCATTCATATGTTGTCCGAGACAATAGGAGCACCAAGCCTCATATTTTACATCATCTAGGAGGCTAGCCAAAGCTTCTACACATGATAACTAACTCTGTTACAAAGGCATCAGGAACACAAGCTCAATGTTCAAGCTCATTTCAAGCCTCTGCTTCAGTTATGCTTACTAATGTCCCATTGGACAAAGCAGGTCACACAGCCAAGTCCAGATTCAAGGAATGGAAAAATAGACTCAATTTCTTTATAGGAGTCGCTGCAAAATACTACTTATTTGCAGCACAATATATTATTGTGACATTGTATAATATCACAATTAACAGAACAGGTGATGTTTCTTGATTTATGTTTGTTATAGACTGAATGTTTGCGTTCCCCAAAATGCATATGTTGAAATCCCCAGTGTGATTGTATTTGATAATAGCCTTTGGGATATGGCTAGGTCATGAGAGTGGAGCCCTCATGACAATGGTGCCGTTTTACAAGAAGCACCAGAGAACTCCCCTGTGCTTTCACCATATAAAAACATAGCAAGTCACCAAACTCCACACCCAAAAAACAAATAATCCAGTGAAGAAATGGGCAGAAAACATGAATAGACACTTTTCTAAAGAAGATATCCAGATGGCCAACAGGCACATGAAAAGATGCTCAGCGTTGCTCACTCGGGAAATACAAATCAAAACCACACTCAGATATCACCTCCATGAAGTGGTGGCAAAAATGAACAAATCAGGAGACTATAGATGCTGGAGAGGATGTGGAGAAACGGGAACCCTCTTGCACTGTTGGTGGGAATGCAAACTGGTGCAGCCACTCTGGAAAACAGTGTGGAGGTTCCTCAAAGAATTAAAATAGACCTACCCTATGACGTATAGCACTGCTAGGATAATTTACCAAGGGATACAGGAGTATTGATGTTAGGGGCACTTGCTGCTCAATGTTTATAGCAGCACTCTCAACAATAGCCAAATTGTGGAAAAAGCCTAAATGTCCATCAACTGACAAATGGATAAAGAAATTGTGGTTTATATACACAATGGAGCTACTGTGGCAATGAGAAAGAATGAAATATGCCCTTTAAACAGCGTGGATGGACCTGAGAGTGTGATCTAAGTGAAATAAGCCATACAGAAAAGACAGATACATTATGTTTTCACTCTTATGTGGATCCTGAGAAACTTAACAGAAACCAATGGGGAGGGGAAGGAAAAAAATGGAGGTTAAAGCGGAGAGAGAAAAGCATAAGAGACTCTTAAAAGCAAGAACAAACTGAGGGTTGATGGGGGTGGGAGGGAGGGGAGGGTGGGTGATGGGATGAGGAGGGCACCTTTGGGATGAGCACTGGGTGTGTATAGGCCATTGACAATAAATTTCATATATTAAAAAATAATAATAAAATAAAATGAAATAAAATAAATATATAGCAAGAAAACAGCCAACTATGAATCAGGAAGTGGACCCTTACCAGACACTTAATCTGCCAGTAATTGGACCTTGGACTTCCCAGCCTTGAGAACAGTGAGAAATACATCTCTGTTGTTCATAAGCTACTTAGTCTACGGTGTTCTTTGATAATAGCCCAAATAAACTGAGACAGTGTTACCTATGAAATAGTTTTTCTTATGTGATTTTATTTTTCAATTCTACCTCACTGTGTAATTAACTAATAATTATTTATAATGCCTCTTAGATATGGTTGGTTTTGATGAAGAGTAAGTTCCAAAGAACAGGTCACCCTACATCAGAACTACACAGATACTTTCCGAAGGGAACCAAAAGGGATAGAGACTCAGTGAAATCTAATAAAATGAGGCTTGACTATTTCCACATGAAGGTTACTTTTCCTTACAAAAAGCGTCTGGATAGGACAGCCCTTGTCACTAGCACTTGCCATTTCATGCTTTGGATAAATCCTCTCCAGGTGGTAGGGATCTCTGTCTGCAGAAGAAGAGAGCAGTTTTTTGTTTGCAAGAGCTCATGCTTCGAATAGATGTTACCTAGATCATTCTAGAAAGATGAAATAAAAAATGTGAAGGAGTCAAAAGTGGCTCATCAAAAGAGTCATGCACTCCACTTCTGAGGTAAATGGACCCACACGTATGTCTAAAATGTTTATTTGTGCTGTGGTCTGGGAGATTCACATATAGAACATCATATTTTCCTGCTTTATAGAGGACTACAGGATCTTGGCCTATGAACTTTTCCCCAAGTTTCTCTTTGTTACATTCCCTGGGAGTCTTCACAAAGACCTTTTAGCGGGAGGATAGCCCACACACCCTCAGGGAAAAAATACATAAGACTGAATTCTCTTAGTGAGAAAAACTTGGAAGAAATTAATTTAAAGAAGAAAAACTAACATGATTTTTTTACTCCAAAATTTTGTGCAGCAATTTCATTTCCACATTATCTGTCTCATTCACAATTCTTCTGTGAACTTATCTGCCTGCAACATCTGGAAGATACATCCAGTTTTCCCTCTTCATCTAGGTCTGATTGGATCAGCATTTGGCATCAGTGGGGCAAGGTACTCAGCCCGTCTAAATTTTCTATGTGGAAAAGTACTTACAGCATTGTTTGGAACATAAAATTAGATAATTTTTTAAATGTTTATTTTTCAGAGAAAGAGAGAGAGAGAGACAGAGAGACAAAGCATGAGTGGGGGAAGGGGCAGAGAGGGAGACACAGAATCTGAACCAGGCTCCAGGCTCTGAGCTATCAGCACAGAGCCCGATGCGGGGCTCAAACCCACGCACCGTGAGATCATGACCTGAGCCAAAGTCAGACGCTTAACCAACTGAGCCACCCAGGCACCCCAAAATTAGGTAATTTTTAGCACAATGCCTCATACATACTGAATGCTTAGTATATGTTAGACAGTGTTATTACAGCCACATTTAACTGAATGTTGATAGTTCAGATACCCACATATCCACAACAAAACATGAAGAAATACTAACACACTATTCACAAACTGGTATCTTGTTTGTTTGCCTCAATTTATAGAGATATAAACAGTTTTTTAGAGGAGAAAGGAGTTTTGTCTGAAGTTGTTAAGAGAATGCTAAAATTGAATATATCTGCTTTTGCCTTGGTCAGGCATCCGAAGACTAAGCAAAAAACATTAAGATTTCAATGCTCACATTCCAGTACAAGATTCTAAACTATTTATGTAGGATATGCTGGAAAAAATAAATCTGTCTTCAGCTCACAACTTCTCAAATACATCTCAGGCAATTAAAGAGTTACAGGAGAAGGAGAGAGATGTATAAGCTATGGCGTCTCTTTCCCGTCCCATCCTTTCTGATTTTGGCACTGGGGGCCAGAATCTGGTAAAGCTGATCAAGAAGAGACCATGTAGGCATTCTGACACAGGTGAAATAGTTTCCGGGACAAAGTTTACACCTACTTTTATCGATGATGTGATGCTCTTCTAACACCCTGAGGATGGGAAGCTTTGATAGCACCTACACCCAGTGTCCTTGGTATGAACACTGACACTCTCGTAACATGTTATGGAGTAGTTGAGGTTTTTTCAGATGATTTTAGAGATGGATAAATGGAAGCGAGAGCACAGGAACCAGAGAACAGCATGCAGTGGGGGAACTAACAGGCACAGACTGCCTTTTGAAAACACATGGAGTACCTCTAGAGTATAGCGTCTGGTATGACATGATGACATGAGGAGTGGCTGGGGGAGTAGGGAAGCCCTGCTAATAGCAGGGACGAAGGTATTGAGGCCAGCGGGTATTTGCATTAAGTATAGCTGTCGTTGTTATTAACACGTTAAAGAGTACCTGATTTCTTTTTTTTTTAATGTTTATTTTTTTTTATTAATTTTTTTAAAACATTTATTTATTTTTGAGACAGAGAGAGACAGAGCATGAACAGGGGAGGGTCAGAGAGAGGGAGACACAGAATCCGAAACAGGCTCCAGGCTCCGAGCTGTCAGCACAGAGCCCGACACGGGACTCGAACTCACGAGCTGTGAGATCATGACCTGAGCCGAAGTCGGACATTCAACTGACTGAGCCACCCAGGCGCCCCAAGAGTACCTGATTTCTATCAGTTATTGAAGATAACAGCTACATAAACTGGAGTGAGTTTGTTGTGTATTTGTTTTCTGAATGTGAAACGGCCAAGAAGCAGCATTAATGGGGTGCCTCATTTTTTTTCAATTTTTTTAATTTATTGAATAAATTTATTTATTGAAATTTAGTGAATTTATGTATTGAATAGATTTATTTATTGAAAAAAATTTATTTATTGAAAAAAATATTGAATATGTGAAAATGTGGGACTCACATATGCTCACACAATTATCAGCCAGGGAGTACATCTGATAGGGAGCAAACGGGATTTTTAATTGCCTGACAGAACCAATCCAATAGAATTTTAGAACAAGGTGACTGGAATTTTAAAATGTGCTCCAAAATAAGACGTTATAAAAGATTATAAAAATATATTACCTGTTAGTGTCAGCAACTATGTAGGTGGCTATGACACCCTATCACTCTCTGAGAAAAGTAGATTATGCTAGAAAGTGTTTTCCAAGTCCTCCACCAAAATAGTTCACTGACAGGTGAGTGCTGACATTTTTGGAAAACCCCAGGGCTCCTGGTTATTAACTTCTGGTCATTCACTAAAATAGTGGTCCTCAGACTTTAGCATGCATCAAAATCATCTGGAGGGGTTATTAAAATTCAGATCGCTGTACCCCAACCCCAAAGTATCTGATTCCATAAGTCTTGGTAA